AAATTTGTCGTCTGTGGCGGCCCACAGGACACCCAGGGTCTTGGTTGTTGGCAATTCTCTCTTCTCCAAGTCTATCTCGGAAGCAAGATCTTCTTCCACAATGTCAGCAATTACATCCGGTTCATTAGAGATCCATTTGCGGATGTGAAAACCAGCCAAGTCTCCTAATTCGGTTAGCTGCTTTCTTGTATCCTTCGCATCATCCACCGTAGGTGCGGATGGCATCAGATCATCCATGTAACAGTGTTCTAGAACTGCATTAGCTCCCAATGGGTAAGTCTCCTTGTGAAGTCTGGCATGATGTTGCCAAGCAAACTGGACACAAAAAGGGCAATAACACCCTCCAAAAATAAACCTCTTAAACTCATAAACCTTTGGTGTATCCCCACTGTCCAAGTTCCTGTATAAGAATCTGTGCAGAGCCCTGTCCTCTGGTCTAAGAAGTATCTGGTGATACATTTGGCTCACATCACCAGCCAATGCAACTGGCTCTTTTCTAAACTTAACTAAAACGTCCACAATGTCACTTTGCAACTTAGGACCTGGTAGTGATTCACTGTTCAAACTCTTTCCATTTTGCTGAGCTGAGCCATCGAAAACAACCCGAACTTTGGTTGTGGCCTTCTCTGGCCTTACCACAGGGAAATGTGGAAGGAACCATTCTGATGGTGGTTTTGGCTCATCCTCTGGGACTTCTCGGATATATCCTTTACTTAAGTAGTCATCAACCACTGATTGGTAAGCCTGTGCCAGCTTCTCATCTTGCATTAACTTCTTCTCAACTGTGTGAAGGCGTTTCTCTGCCATCTGTCGGTTTGGCGGTAATTCTGGTCTTTCATGTTTCCAAGGCACCGCAACTTCATATCTTTCACCATCAAACCTGATTGATTCGTTCACTTTAGCAAAGGCTAGTTTCTCTTCAGGGGAAAGTGGTTGCTCCACCTGCGGTGTGATCCCAATAGCCTCAAGGCTCCAAAACTGTTTCAGCAGATAATTCAGATCTCCATCACTACACTCTGACTGCCTTATGCGGTAGGTGTTCAGGTAACCAGTGTTACTTGTTCCAAGTCCCTCAGATGTACCAATGGTACCAATTGCTGTCCACCCTAATGGACACAGTCTGGCACTAGGTTCATTGTCGCCTCCACGAACCTCTTTCATAGGAAACAGCAGGTTGTAATAATCTGAACCAATAAGAACGTCAATTTTACTCCTTTTTCCAAGCTTAGGAAAAGGAATGTCTCTCAAATGTTTCCACTGGTCTTTGATTTGCAGCCAGTTGGTGGGTTTCATCCCACCACAGATGTTATTAGATGTTTTCGCCACAATCACTGTGTCCACCCGACCATCTAGACTCTCCAAGCCAATCTCCATGGTTGCTGACATTAAATTGACCTTCTGTCCATTTGCAACATTGATAATTACTTTTTCCTTCCTACCATACAACCCCAGTTCCTCTACCACATCCTCATTAACATACGAAGTATCACTGCCTTCGTCCAAGAAACAATTAACTTGCAAGCGTCTCTCCTCATGTTTCAGAATGACAGGAACAGTACGCAAGGCAATACTCCTCTGTGCGTGTTCTTGCACTGTTTCATACGTACTGGACTTGTTTTCCTCTGTCACGGGTGTGTCAGCCTTCCCCTCCATGGACCCAGAAGCTACTTTCTCCTCGTGAAGTAACCGATGGTGTCTGTCCTTGCATCCGTCAATTCCACACTCTCTGTTCCAAGTACATGAGTCACCAAGGTGCCCTTTCCCCAAGCAACGGTAACACAGTCCAAGCTTCTTCGCCGTCTCCCACTTCTTTCTATGTTCCATTCCCTTGAACATATCACATTTCCAAATTGGGTGTTTTTGGTTGCACACTTTACAGGGACGATCACGTTTCTCTTCTGTGGTCCCAAAATAAGACTTAGTTGAGCTCTTTCCTCGTACACTTCCAACACTGGACAAACCATGCTTAATTTCTGATGCTTGTACCTGGTACTCAGCTTCCTCAGCAACCCAGCGACGCAGCTCTTCAAGAGACTCCAAGCTTCCCTTTTCTTTAATCCATCGATAGTACTGGCTAAGTAGAGCTTGAGGAAGTTTTTCCAGCACAATTGCGTACAATGTTCCTCCTTCCAGGTCAGCAAACTTCTTATTTTCCTTTAAAGAAACCACAGTCCTCTCCACTATGTCGGCAAATCTTTCTAGCTCTCTCGGATTATCAGCGTTTATTGGCCTCATCTTACGTAGCTCATCGATATGGGCTTGAACCTGTCGCCTGTTTCCCCCATACTTTCGATTCAACCTTGCCTTAGCTGCTTCATAGGCATGATCCGAGTAACCAAGCCCTTTCACCGTTTCGGCCGCCTCTCCTACTAAACAACTTTCGAGCCGCAACATTTTAAACTGAGCCGACAAATTTGTTTCATCCACACAACTGGAAAACGCTGCCCACCACGACTGATATTCTTTCTTGTCGCCCGAAAACTTTGGGATTCGAATCCGCTCAAGCTGTTTGTTTGCGTCGACCACGTGACCATCTTTGCCATGTGCGCTCTCAAATGTGCCGATCTGGCTTGTGTTATTTCCTTCGCTTTCCTTGCTGTTACTTCGCGATAAGAAAAGCCGAGCTTCCTTTGTCTCGTTATCCACACGATCTATCATTTTATCCGCTTCATCACCTGTTGAAGCCGCCAGCGATGCATGCTTATTATCTCCGTACAAGGTTTGAAGCGAGTCCAACAGCTCCAACAATTCATCCCGTCGCTTGTCGATGTCCTGGAGTTTTGCCGTGACATTTTCCTTGTTTGGTGTTTTCGTCGATAATTCCGCAGCTAATTCGTTCAGATGCTTCGTAATACTTGTCTTGAGAGTTCTTTTTTCTTTCTTTAACTCTTCTATTTTTCCATCGATAATTCCTCCAGCTTCAATTCTCGATGGACTTCCCGCCAAATGTTTCCAAGTTCGAACGAGTCCCTTGCAAATTCCACAATACTGGTTCCGATTGTCCAATTATTACACCAATGCGAATATCCGGCTCGAAGGACCAAAATGTTGTTTCTATTCCAAGACTGTAAGCTCTTAACAAAACAAAACTAAACTATCTCGACAAATCTCGACAAGTCTCGAGTCAAGTTCCATTCAAGAGTCCGAATTCAACCACAACGTCACATGACCGAAACACGTGATAATTGTCAGGACGTACATAATGTAACGCAACTCGAAATGTCACTAACATAGACTTTTAACCAGAAAGGTCAGCTAAGGTCCCAGCACAGCGGGACTAAAGTTAAAAGTATTTTTTCTAGTCAGCGTATATATTAATAACACACTGACTCCCGATAACTCGAACCCTCGCTAACTCGAACCCTCGATAACTCGAACCTCCCTCTAACTAAAAGAAACTTTTGTTTCCCTTCAGATCATTTCCACATAATGTTACCAGCGATAACTCGAACCATTTTTTGAGCGCTTAAAAAGTCGGCAAAAAAAACAGTGTACTGTCGTCCGAAACGTTGATTTTGAATCTCCCATTGACGTGTTGTAGCCATTAGTGGAGGCTGATGTTGTTTGTCACAAATCTAACGTGAAACAGCTTTACTACTCAAAACAGTAAAACGCGTGCTCTATTTAGGCTATGTTTTTTAGTTATATTCTGAATAATAACCTATAAGTATCTTTCAATTTCCACTTAACGTTTCTACAATTAAATGTGGTTAAAATGTTCACTGTACAGTAAAAACTGGTTTTTCCCTTACTTCCGGCCATTTGCTTCGAGCTCCTGATAACTAGAACTTTTTCCTATTTCCCTTGAAGGTTCGAGTTATCGGGAGTCGACTGTAATTTCAAAACCGAAAAGGATTGAAACTAATTAAAAGCTATTACGTAATCACTGCTCTTGGTTCTATGTAGAGAAGACATAACAGAGTTTTTCAAGCCTTTATGACTGACGTAATAACACTTAAACTTTATTGTCAGAAACTTACCGCCCAACCAATCAAATTGGATACAAAGACATTTGTTTTTTTTTAACACCTTAAGATCTACTTCTGCAAGAAAAATATGTTTGTTTTTTCCAAATTATCCCTATATCGCTTTGTTCTGTTTGTTTACAAATGCCCGGAAAAATTGACGTTTCCCTAACTGTGCGTGAGAAAGCATTTTATTTAACTGCACAAGAATAACTCTTCTATTTTTTTTCTTATTCAAATTTTCTTAGTCAAATTTTGATTTATTTAATATAACTGAGAGAAGAGAAAATCAGTGTCTTGCCATGATTTATTTTATGAACGGTTAAGTAATTTGGGGATAGCGACAAAATCAAAACAACTCGGACGGCAATTTTTTCTCTAAATCACCGATTTTTCTATCAAGACAAAGTCATACTACGTCATGATAATTACCTGTTTTTTGTTTACTTCGACAGACAAAAAAAATTGTTTGAAGAATTTAACTGACATAGAGGTTCAGTTATAGTTAAAGTACCATTCTTAGCGTTTTTTCCTAATACTAAACTAAATCCTTGTATAGAACTTATAAGTCTATAAATAAATGTTTACTATTAACAAAATGGACGGGGGCATCAGAAATAATTCTTTACTAATTTCAGCTGCCGGTTTCTTTTTATCATTTTTCATTTACTCAGCGGGAAAATAGCTATGTCAATGATTATTGTGTGGCGCAAACAAGCTTTTAAATTTCACAGGTTTAAAATAAATACAAAAAGCAGTTCGAAATATGTATTCAATATAATTTCCAACACCTCTCATTCGGCAGCTGTCTTTTAACAGTAAGTTCATTTGTTTGAACTCGATTATTTCGTTCAGAGACAAAATATCTTACTACATCAAAATTAAATAGCAATTCAATGGCTTTCGCAGTGGGAAGGATGTGAGAAACTTGAACTGTTTGTTCGGTTCTGTCAGCTCATGCAGGCATTTTGTTCACTGAATTCTAACGCCGTTTGATGACTGCCGGAGAAACATAACAAAATTTAGCTGTTAATAATGTACTTAAACGCAAATATCAGTCTCGGGTTGAATTTATCTGATACCAGTGAAAACACTGCTGTCCCAAACAGCATAAGTGTGGTCTCCTTCATAGGAATATTTATACTGTGTTTCTACATCATAGTGTATTCTACATCCACTGTGGGAAACTTTGTCGTTCTTTACATTTGCCACAGAAGTGGACGATCCGCGGCCTTTAAGCCAACGCGGACTGGATTTTTCAATCGTTACATTGCCAATCTTGCCATTGCAGATCTTCTTTTTACACAACTGACTGTTTTCGATGCAGTTTATGCGATTCTTGCCGACTGGGTGTTTGGCGCGGCGATGTGCAAGCTTCAAGGATTTCTGGTCGAGCTATGTTATTCCGCGGCAATTTTGACTTTGATTGCCATTAGCCGCGAAAGGCGAAAATCTATATCCGACTTGGAAATGAAATCACGAATCCAGCGAATCAAGGAGAGAAAAATTTTCTCGATCATTGCATGGATCGTGGCTTTTGTGCTCTGTTCGCCTCTTTTGTATGCTTACAATGTTGTAAAAACTGAAACAGAAAATGGTATCAGCCGATGTAACAACATTGCTTGGTTACATATTGGAAGGCGGATTTATTACAGTATTACTATAGTAATACTGTTCGTTTTCCCGCTAACTATCATGATCTGGACACAGCTAAAGATCAAACGAGTTTTAAACGCGCAAGTAGTAGCAAACCAACAAATCGCAGCATTAACGCGAGCGCGCCAAAAGAAAGCCAGTCGAATGCTTAGTTCTGTAACACTCGTTTTTTTCGTGTTGTGGTCGCCATTTATTTTGACTCGTACCCTTCGTTATTTCGCGTGGTACGAAGGGGAAATAATGTGGAAACTTAGCCAGCTTTTAACTCTTGCCTCCTCGGCAGCAAACCCATTTATTTACAGTTTTTACAGTCTACATTATAGGATTTTTATTAAGAGGTTAATCACCTGCCAATGTCGACGCTTCATGGCTAAAAGTGAAAATGTACCTACTTCCACAGCTATTTCCTTATATTGAAATTACGTCAAAATAAGAAACATCCTAATGGCTTTACTACTACGGACAGAAGATTGATAAGCCATTAGGGCATCAACGAATTTAGATCTTTCACAATCATGCCCAAAATTCAGTCGGGTCAAGTTATCTTATCAAGTAGGGGAAAGGTATAGTCATCTTTTTGGTTTTTTCTCACGTTTTAGTACGTAATCTTTTTTCAAACAAACTTCCAGTCTCAAATCTTTGCTGTGGGAGAGATAGGATCAGCCGAAAAGTGAATATGAAGCTCAGGAACTAATTAGTGTGCGAGGTAAATGAGTTAAATTATATCGTTCTATCCAGTCCATAATGAGGAAAGGTTAATAGCGGATGTATTGGTTTCTGATCGACTTTCGGACGCTAGCTCGCCCTTGGACAAGAAACAAAAATAAACTAAACTGAAAATCGTTTCCCTGAGTAAATAAGTAAACGGGATGTTGCTGTCTGGCTTTGATCGATTTTAAAAGATAGTTGAGATATTGTGACGGATAGATAGTGTTAAAATGACACCTGAAAATGAGGTTTTCAAACAAACGTATAACGCCAATTTTAATGATGCTAAGCAGCTGTCGCCACTCGTTCTGTCCTGGCTATGCAAACCTGACACGAATGTCTTTTTCAGTCGTATAAAGTAGACTAGCGGCATTACATAGACCTTTATTCGTTTTTTTAAACTTTTAATGACATGAACAAGTTAAGGAAAATCCGTCAATTTCGATGGAAAGAGTGCCTTTAAATTAATGACATTTCCAAATTTGAAAGTGATTTGGGAAAAACTAAAGAAGATATGGCTCCTCAAAGCGTCGCGAGATTTACAAACGTTTGTATAGCCTGCGTGGCAGGCGTTCGAAAGTGAAGGGGAATGGAATTGGGGGGCAAGAGTGCAGCGAGACCGCGCGCGGGGGAGGAGGGAGGAGGGGAATTTCTTTCCTTTCTCCCTCGCGCGCCAAAAATTTCCCCTTCCCCTTCCCCTTTTAACGCCTGCCACGCCGGCTAACGTTTTTATGGTGGGGAGCACAAGCTTGCCCCCCACCATTCAAACGTCTGTTAATTTTCGGAACTTTGCGGAGCTATATTCTCGCTCGCTTAAGACATATCACCTTCAAACTTGGCTTTAAGGTGCTGTTTCTAATGGTGTCGACGGATTTTTGCTAACTGGTCCATGTCAAAAGTTGAAACAACCGTAGAAGGGTCTATGATTGTAAAGCTTAGTTCTCAAATGCCACCGACCCGCCTGCGATACTGCCTGAGATACTTTTCCAACATATTAGAACAAAAGCAATCGCACCGCTTTTTACCCCCGGTATGCCCCGGGGCTGGCACACAGTATACTAAATAAAAATTGAAAGTCAGCTTTATCAGGCATGCCGGCTGGGATGGCCTCTGTTACTGTGACTTCTACTCTCTCATCGGAACACTGGGTATTCTAACCGGTATTGGTGGCCATTCAGTTCGTCAAGGTTTACGGCATGTGAGAACAGCAGGCCGAACCAACCAAATGATTCTAGCTTAGGTTTTGTTTTATGGTGCTGGTAATTAGTCAAATAGAGTATTTTCTTCGAATAGCACGTTCGGGAGAGTTAATGAAGACACAATTGTACATTGTACATTGTATATTGCTTGGCTTAATTTGCTTCCGTCGTGGGCGCATCAAAAGCGACAAAATTGTACAGAGTAAAATTACCTTTAGCTAGGAATTGCAATTTACCATGCTCTCCGAGCTAAATCTGAATGTCTCATGCGGTTTTCTCATGACTTGATCAAGGAAAAATGTACTCGTCTATCTTGAGTGGACGTTTCATTTATTCCCTCTTCGAAAAGTTCCTTTTCTCTTTAAGAAACGGAAGGTACAAGCAAAAATACGAGGCCTCCAGGTGACCCTCTTGAAGGTAAACTGAAGGCTTCTTACTTTACGTCAGGTAGCTCGAAATTGTTTTCATCTGACTGTCTAACAAACCTGAGGCCGACGGCCATTTTTACCCACCTCTCGTCGGCGCTACGTCTCGTTACGGGTATTAATATACTTCTACTTTATAATATTAAAGCTTACACGTAAATGAAAGAAGTCGAAACAAGGATTTGAGATCACACTTGGGAATTGAACAGAACAGCAGAAGGCATCGAACTAGCCGCTATGCCAAGCCATTGCTACTAAAAAAAAATGTTTACTCAGTAAGTTTGTATTCAACCATCTTAGAAATCACCTTTTCGTTTTTTTTTTTATAAATTAAATTATTCTTTTGAATACTGTTTAGCTGTGCTCTGAAAGAAAAATTCACTAACAAAGTATACAATTTAATTTTAAAAGATCTTCCTGCAATACAGCGTTACGGACTAGACTGCACTAACTGACGAAAATTTTCTCGTTGATAAATACAACGGAGAGGCGCGTAATTATAGCGCTATTTTTGTTTCTGTTTTTCGCTAAAATGCTAGAAATCTCTTAGCAACTGATCTAGGGCAAACTTCTAGAATTGAAAAACAAATTTAATTTCAAACTTCTTGATCAGTTGGACACCTTGTTGAAACAAAGAAAATTAAACAACGCGTCTCAGTGATTTACCATGCAATGAATTGGTTGGACTTTATTGCTTCTCAACTTTGTATTGTAAGTAGTTTGAATATGTATCTAAAATTGGCAAAAGCAAGAAAGTATATTGCGACCGATAGCTTTGTTTTGGTAAGCAACGCCAAATTACGTGTTATAGAGACGGACAGTTTTCTCTTCTGTTACGTGCTTTACTTAATTAACATTCTATTGCGTTTCTTTTTTGTTATTGAAAAAAGAAAAAAAAAACCGAAAAAATTTGTTCACAAGTTGTGCGCTAAGTTTTGATCACTTCGTTCCTGTGCAGTTCTGGTTATCACTGTGTTGAATTTTTAAAAAAGTAACCTGAGATCAGGCCCAATTTTAGCGGTTCTCATCCATTCTCTCTAACGGTTGCCGCTAAAGTCAAAAAAATTGAAAATTGAAAATTGGGCCTGGTTTGTGCTCTCTGCGGTCAGATTTTGGCGGCAACGCTGATTGGCTGTTAGAACAATGCCACAAGATCTGATTGGCTGTTGGAATCAACGGAAGTTGAAAGCGCTTATTCCTCGCGTGGTTGTTTTCGTGAATGACCAGCTGTCAGCGGAGAGAAGGATCGAGTTTGCTGTCTTTTTAAATTTTTTATGGTCTTATGGTAGGAAAATTTGCCTTAATTTGTGCCTTGGAAATTCAGAAAATTCAGATGGTTGTTCATATCTTCTCATATTTTTCTTTATTTACGGAACTAATGTGAGTCTATCGCAGAGTTGAATCTCTCTGCAAATTGAAAAAAGAAAACATCCCACTACGCCTTGCCCACAAATCCTACAGGCTCAGACAAGCCCTATCCTACACCTCCACGGAGCGTAAATGCCCTAGAGACAAATGCCCTATCTCTAACACCGGATTCAGTGTGTTTACGAAGAAATGCAGTGTACCAGCTCACGTGTAACAGCTGCGATCAACAATACATTGGTAACACGACACGCTTCATCCACGACCGCGTAAGGGAACATCTCAATAATGAAAACTCCTCTGTTAAAAAAACATATCTTTTCCTGTCAGAACAAAGACCATAAAGGCATTGATGTCAAGATTATTATGAGCGGAAACGACCCCGCTAATCTACGCCTCTATGAAGCTTTTTCATTAGAAAGGGCAAGCCTACACTCAATTCCCGAGAAGAATGTAGTGAATTCGCAGACCTTCTATTTTAGTATTTTATTTTAGAGACCATTCTTAAAGGTCAAATGAACCAAAAAATTGAAATATTTTCTTTTGTCGCTTTACCTTCACCAAACACTAAAAAGTACCATCCTTAGTGAGATTTGGGTAAAGATTTTTCTTCCCAAGCCTTTATAGAAAGATAAAAGATCAAAATCCGAGCATTTCCGAAGGCTTCACGAAAACGTTTCTGAAATGGCCGCGTGATAGACTGGAGACTACGTGACGTCAATGTTGGTCTTTCAGGGCGGAAAAACGTTCTGCGCATCCCTTATCGCCTGAGTTTGTTTGTCTCGTTCTGTGAGAGTTTAGTCTCCTTCGCAGCCGTTATTAGGGTCGTCACTCGTCACGCAACGCTCCTCCCCACTAACAGGAGCGTTGCGTGACGAGTGACGACCCTAATAACGGCTGCGAAGGAGACTAGTGAGAGTTCGGACTGAGACTGAATGAAATACACGAGGTGCGAACGTTTGCTCCCCGTAAAGGCGTTTTTTTTTGGTTTTTGTTGTTGTTGATGTTGTTGTTGTTTTTTCGTCACTTGAAAATTACTAACCAATGTTAGAGTAAAAACAGATCATTCCGTCAGTCTGAGGAGGAATAAAACGTTTTGAACATTTCAAAAGAGGTTTGTATTTTTCTGATAATTGTGCATTCGATTTGTGAATTGATTTTGTGTCCAGTGCTTCGCCTTCTTTCGCCGGGCTGAATTAAAACCGGCTTGTATTATGTTATTAGTAGTTACGGTTAGTTTTTTTACATGCCCAGATTCATTTATGTTTGCATAACCAGCTCTATCCTTGTCTTATGTCAAAGAACCGTAATGCTAACGCTTGCGAGTGAACAAATCGAAACAAACTTGAGCGCTTAAAACTTCCTCGGAACTATAGAAGGCTAGCAAGCTTATTCGAGAAGAACAGACTACTTCGATCACTTTTCTGTTGCTCAAGTAATAATAGTCAGAGTTTTGTTTTCTTTTTTCATTTTTAATTACGTGGTTTTGTTTTCTTTCTGTACGCAAATTTTCCTTTTCACTCGCTGTGAAGTAGCTGAGAACGACAACTGCTACACTGCTAGCAGAGTCGCTTCGATCTTTCCTAGATAAGTCGGGAAAGAGGAAGATCGAAGGAGACTCTGTTCGCGGGGTAGACAACTGCCGGCAGTGACTTCAAAACAATTAACTCTTTGCCCGTAAACAATTGCTGGAGCTGGATTTGACTGAAGCGAGCAAAAC